TGCCTGCTAACCAGACGGCTGGCGGTTCAAACCCATCAGCCACTCCTCGGAAGGAAGGTTGGGCAATCCTACTTCCGTAGTGATACTGCCTCGGAAACCGAAGGAGGGGTCGCTATGAGTCGGGTTTGACTCGACGGCACATAACAACAACAACAACATCACCAACCATCTACTGCATATATGCCTGCCAAAGAGGTACTCGACATTGTTGTTGACTTCATGAATGCAGGAGACCACTTGGGCCTTGCAGCTGCAGGAACTTCTTCACTTGCCCTCCATAAGTGGCTCTGGCAGACTCCTCTAGGACTGTACCCCTGGGCAGGTAAACCTGCACCTGAGGAAATCCCCTCAACAGTACGGCTGGCTTGGGAATATGCCCAAGTGGAGTTTACAGTTTACAGGAATTACAGTTTAGACACTATAAAAGAAAATTCAATTACACACAGAGTCCATAAAATGATTTCTTGGGGGTGGGTATAAGAGAAATGATTGTTATGTTCAATGGCCCCTGGCTACTAGCCCCTTAGGTATGAACAGTGCCTGGAATGGCTGACAAATTAGGGTCTCTCAGGAAATGCTGAACCGGTACCTCTCTCTCTAAGGGTCCACTAATTCAAGTAAAATGTATAAATGTGTAAGATAACCAAAGAGCTCTTTCTATGACCTTACAAAATGGTGCTGTCAAGCACCTGCCACCTCCTCCACTGACACTGTTTTGATTCTGAGGCCATCTTCACTGTCCCTTTAATATTATATAACTCATATATCAATAAATCAATTACTTCCAATTCATTGCACAAGTCTTCTCAAATGGGCAGTAAGCCCAAATAACAGGCAGGACCCCTCAAAAGGTAGGGATTTGGCTGTGAAAGTCCCTGGGCCCCAACCCTCTCCTATATGTGGCCTTCACAAGCTATGCCACAAATATAAACAGAAGCTCCAACCAAGAGACTTGCAAAATGTTGTTGGCTGCTGGGAAAATGATTAAAGAAACACCTCCATCTACTTTTTCATTCCCAAGAATAGTTAAGGGGCTGAGAAGCCAGAATCTCAGAACAAAGGGAGATGAAGACCATATGCCCCTTGGACTGGACTCTGAGATTGTGAAACCTTTCTCATCACCACCGCTCCCAGATCCTGAGTCAGTAAGCAGACTACATGGCTGCATGCTGGTTCAGGTGACATCTAGGACTTCAGAAGTGGTGGAGTCGCAGGAAAGGGGAGCCATAAAGAGTGATTATCACTGTCTTTTCTTCTCCCACCTCCAGGATGCCTGGCCTCAGGGCAGCATCCTCCAACATAGACCGGGTCTCCTTTACTCTCCCTTCCTCTCTCCTTGTTCCTTCTTTCTGGTTTTATACACTCTAAGAAGCCCTACAATTATGATTCATTTTCAAATAAGGATTGACCCTACCTCAATGTACTATTCATCCCAAACTCTACCATCAGCACTGTGCTGGTAAAGTCTGTGTGTCAACTTGACTAGGCCAAGTTGAGTGGCTGGGTAGCTGGATGTAGTATTCCCCATGATGAGACTGGTAATCAACTTCATGGTAGAATCTACAGTGAGCAGCTGTGTAGTGCCTTAGGGATGTGGTCTGCTTCCTGTATATTAAGGAGAGGCCTTGGGAAATAGTCTCTAGCTTATGGCATGCTTGAACCCTGCATGTAGCCGTGTTGTTGTTCAGCAGCTGCCATGCTCTGCCAACCTTGGGACTTAACAATGGACTTGAATTAATGGCCTGCCATGTGGTTTGGTAACATCGGAACTGTGCCATTTTATTTGTTGACCTTGGGCTTGTTAGCCTCAGCAGCCAGTAGCTGCCCGAGTAGAGAGATGCCTCTAGCTTCAGTGGGCCGGGAGTGAGAGGCAGAGCTGAAGCCCAAGGTCGGAGGGGCTTTCCCACAACCACTAGAGCCTGGCACTTTGAACTCAGACTTCTAGCCTCCTGAACTGTAAAAGAATAAACTCCTGTTTGTTAAGGCCATCCCATTTGTAGTAGATTCCTGTCAGAGTGGTACTAAGTAACCAAAGCAACCACCTATGCAAATTTATATTTCAGAAGTTTAAGAAAAAAACAAGGCAAGGTATGAGAAGAGAGAGACAAACAGAGGTCTTTATATGTCAGCTTTCCATTTTTAGTAGGGGAATTAAGTCTTACTTTTAAAAATCTATTGAAAATTTTGAACTCTCTTGAAAAGGTTATATATTCGTCTTTAACAAAGAAAGACATAGGGAAGCTTTGATTGGGGTTTCCTAAGAGGTTCACAGTAGGCAGTAAGCCTCGTCAGCTACTGACTTAGCCACAGGGAAGCCATGGACAAAAAGAACCACTCGGAACTCAGACCATGCTTTCCATAAAATGCTAACACATACCACCAATTTGGACAAATGTAATAGTGAGTACTTAGACACATTAAGCACTACATAGGCACTACCTCATTAACTTAATAATCATTACTGAATAATTATTTTTCTAAGAAAAGGCATTCTGGGCTCCAAGCCACATACCAACTTTTGAAATACAAGCTATCATGATTTGGAAGTTTCCTGCAGCATGTGTATTCATAAGAAATATATTCAAATGGCTTATACTTCAGGAGTAAAATAGCATCTGATGAACATTATGCAAATGATCAATATATGTCTAAGAACAGAAATTCAAGGTCAGAAAACATACAAAGTATTTCATCAGTAAATGGCCTATGTTTATTCTGTGGTTAAGAGCTTTTCAGAGACTAAGGACATAATCTCTTACTAAAAATGAGGCTATTGATCTAGCATATCCATTAACATTTAGGTTTAAGATTACAAAATACTGAAGTTGGGAGGCTTGTAATATCTATAAAAGTACAAATAAATCATTTTAATGCATTTAGTTCAATTTCATGCTCTTGAATATATTGATTTCTGTATGGTTTTGCTAGAAACTGTATATAATTGCTACTTGTATGTCTGTTCAAAAAAATTGTAATATTGTCTTAGTTATCTAATGCCACTAACAGGAATATCACAAATAGGTGGCTTTAACAACAGAAACTTTTTTCACAGCTTTAGAGACTAGAAGTCTGAATTCAGAGCGTCAGCTCTAGGAGAAGGTTTTCTCTCTCTCTTGGCTCTGGAGCAAAGTCCCTCTCTCTTTCCAGCATCCTGTGGCATGGCATCTGTCTTCCCCCATCTCGGCTTGCTCACTTACAAAATCTCTTTTATATCCCAAAAGAGACTGACTTAAGACACACCCTACATTAATAATGCCTCACTGATGTAACAAAGAAAACCCAATCCCAAATGGGAATATAACCACAGGTATAGGGGTTAGGATTTATAACATATATTTTTGGGCAGTGGCATCACTTGGAGGTTGTGGGGGTTACAGATCACACCAGGTGACATTGCCAGAGAGTATGACACCAAAATGACTGTCTATAAATAATCAGTGTTTCAGCAGAAACTTACTATTTTTTATAAAAATATCCCTGTAGTTAGCCCTATGGTTATAACAACAGAAACATTTCTCAAAAACCCAGCTTACATATATTAATATACCTACAAAGCTAAAACTTTATGCTAATTTACTTTTTAACCCTTCCAATGCGCTCTGGTCAGAGCTGTCATTATTATCCAATTCCAATGACGATTCAAATCACATGGCTTCATCAGCACACACAACAAGCATGCACTGGTTGTATTCATTGCTGCCAGTGTTTTTATAGTCGCTGATTTTGTCAAATTTCCTGATGTTCTAACTACAATATTGTGATAAGTAGTACTTAGGAACCTATATAACTTTTTTGAGAATGAAGCAGTGATTAAAGGAAAAGGAGGAAATTAAAAAAGGTTCCCATACAGTTACTAATATAATAATGTTGTAATTCAATGTAGAAAGATTTTACAAAACAATTTTGTTATTAATATTCATACAAGAAATATTACATTTAAGCAAGTTACAACTACATTTATCACCTATTATTCTATGATTAAAATTGATAATAAACATTAATAAGGATTCCGTATGGGCTGGTACGGGAGGAGGTTCATGGTG